TTTTTTTTTATTGTAAAGTAAAATATTATAGTCGGAACTATATATTATAGTCGGAACTATATACTATAGTCAGGACTATATATTATAGTCGGGACTATATACTATAGTCGGTACTATACACAAAAGTCGGTACTATAGACTATAATAGGGACTGTAGACTATAGTAGGGACTATAAACTATAGTAGGGACTATAAACTATAGTCAGGACTATAAACTATAGTCAGGACTTTAAACTATAGTCGGGACTATAGACTATAGTCAGAACTATAGACTATAGTCGGGACTATAGACTATAGTCAGAACTATAGACTATAGTCGGGACTATAGACTATAGTCGGGACTATAGACTATAGTCGGGACTATAGACTATAGTCGGGACTATAGACTATAGTCGGGACTATAGACTATAGTTGGGACTATAGACTGTAGTCGGGACTATAGACTATAGTCGGGACTATAGACTATAGTCGGGACTATAGACTATAGTCGGGACTATAGACTAAAGTCGGTACTATAGACTATAGTCGGGACTATAGACTATAGTCGGGACTATAGACTATAGTCGGTACTATAGACTATAGTCGGGACTATAGACTATAATCTGCAAACTCGTATTTTTTTTTTATTGTAAAGTAAAATATTATAGTCGGAACTATATATTATAGTCGGAACTATATATTATAGTCGGGACTATATACTATAGTCGGTACTATACACAAAAGTCGGTGCTATAGACTCTAGTAGGGACTGTAGACTATAATCAGGACTATAAACTATAGTCAGGACTATAAACTATAGTCGGGACTATAGACTATAGTCACAACTATAGACTATAGTCGGGACTATAGACTATAGTTGGGACTACAGACTATTGTCGGGACTATAGACTATAGTCGGGACTATAGACTATAGTCGGGACTATAGACTATAGTCGGGACTATAGACTATAGTCGTGACTATAGACTATAGTCGGGACGGGCGGGACTATAGACTATAGTCGGGACTATAGACTATAGTCGGGACTATAGACTATAGTCGTGACTATAGACTATAGTCGGGACTATAGATTATAGTTGGGACTATAGACTATAGTCAGGACTATAGTCAGCACTATAGACTATAGTCAGGACTATAGACTATAGTCAGGACTATAGTGAGGACTATAGTCAGGACTATAGACTATAGTCAGGACTATATATATATATATATATATATAGCCAGAATTATATACTATAATCAGGACTATAGACTATAGTCAGGAAAGATTTCTTTTCACCTAAATTTTCTGCAAATAATTTAAAAAGGATCCACCCTATAGTCCCGACATAAATGTACATATAGCCAACCCAAATACATTCAATGTACTTGTTTACTCACACACTTCGCCAACATCATTTTACTACCGTTTTGTGACACATTTTTTTCCCGTAACTTTTTTTTCGCATTTTCTATTCCATGTTTTAGAAAATTTGACACATTTTGAATTTATGGTTTTTTTCCCAGCGATAAGAGTTGACAACAAACCGTGTATTTTATGGATAGATGTAAATGAGTAAAACAAATGTTTTAGATTAGTTGAGTAGTAAGCAACGATATCTATACAAAACTTCTATAAAAATACGGTAGTAACTGCAATATATAAACTCATAAAAGGTATTTTTTGCAAAAAAAAATACAAGTTTGCAATTCATTTAAAATTTTATGGTTGATTGTAAAGTAAATTGTGTTAATTTTAAAATATGTATTTTTATTTTAGGGATTTACTCAGTTAGTGTGGTTTTGGGAGATTTATTTATGGGCAACGAGTTTAAACATGGTTAAATTAAATCAATTTAAAATTTTAATCATATTTGAAATAGTGTTAATGATTTATATTGGATTATATATAAAACGGATAAAGTAAATGATAAGTATTTTTTAGGTTTTCGATAAATCAGAGCAATAAATTTAGATGCAGTTGCAAATATAAGTCAATTAGTCATACAACCAACAAAATATAACAATTTCATTAAAATTACTTTTGAAAACTAAAATTCTGACTTCAAAAGAAATAATGATTCTGTCTTATGTCTGTTGTGAATATTTAAGAGCATAAGTTAAAGTTATGTTGTTGCTGCTTCTGTTGCAACAACTGGCCTTTGTAAAGTCATGATGTCACGTAAATATACAACATATTCTTTTTTACTTTAACAACACACATAAGGATACACTGTTGCATACAGAAACAACAGACAAGCAAACGTCCAAAAAAAAGAGGAAATAATGCATTTTACAACATTGTAAAAGAAAGAAATAGAAAACAGTTGCAAATAAGCAACACGTTCAAAAACCGCTGAAACCGCAGTAAGTAATTTTTGAATGTTTTTCACACAATAAGCAAGAAAGAGTAAATGGAAAAGAATGAAGGAGATAGCAAATATATACATAGTATATGTACATACAAGTAAATATTTATAAACATACATATGTATGCATATAAATGGGAGTATAGGTATACGT